TTCATGTCCTTAATAAAGTCCGAAATATTCACTGCCTTCACTGCTTCTCGGAGTTTATCATAGTCGCCTTTCGCAAAATTTAAACGCTCACGCTTCCGAAGCGTCTTTTCTGTACAGCACTTAAGTCTGAAAAACAATGATTGGTGATGGCTTTTGCCCATCGGAGCCTCGTGACGAAGCTCATCCAACATTGATTCATCACTGGTAAACACCAGGTCTAGAATATTGGGAGTCTGTTTACTTCTATAATGGGTTGGTTTGGTAACGTGCTGGACTAGGAAGGAGTCTCTTACTGACTTTGGGAAAAGTATTGGGCGTTGGAAAACTCGCATACATGCAGGCAAAATAGCACATGCAGAGAGTGTTGCAATTCACAACCAGAAAAGCGAGTGTGTGTGGCGGGCCAGTAAGTCCTGAGGCTGACGTGTTGGCAAGTGAGTGTGTGGCGGGCCAGTAAGTCACGAATCTGATATGTTGAAGCGTGCGACCTATCGACCATCTCCCCTCGACCCTCTCCACGTCCAGTAAGGGTCATGCCCTGATTGCTGCTGCCGTAATTATGCCCGCAATCACTTTACGTGGCTGCGCTCACTGAGTGTTCAAGCTTCTAGGTCGTCGTTCAGATCCTTAGAGATAATCACGACGTCAAAAATTTATTCTGATCCTCTTAACATTTGGAAATCAATAGTACTGATATCTGGAGACCGAGTATCGTAGCCAGACGAGTAACGATAAAACGGCCAGGTTGCGGCAGAAGTGATCGTTACTGAACGCTTCAGTGTGCCAGTGTGATGTCACGCGGGGATAATATTTATCGTCACTGCTAACGTCAATGCCGATAACCACGCCAGCAGCACTAAAGCCGCTGGCCTTCAACAGAAACGATTTATTTTATAAGCTTAACTGAGCCACCTAGAAACAGGGTTTTAGTTATTATGCGGCAATCGAACATTATACAAATCGAAGTTCTGGCCTGCATAATACTCTGAACCTCTGGGCCACAATGCGTGAATTGCAATTTTATTACAATGCGTGACAAAAGGATAACTATTTTAGGATAATTACTACTTATATCTTCAAATAATTTTAAAATGGATTCATAATTTTCAATTATTTCTTATATAACTTCAGCCAGGAGTTTGAAAACTTGCAGGCATCTTTAGGTTCATGCGAGCAGCGAGCTGGTACACAGCGGCTTACCTGAAGATGTCGCGATGATGATGAATGCGAGAGCAATGACGAACATTTTTGTGGCGGTTTTGCATACAAAAATTTATATGTTCTTATTTTCAAGCTTCCTTGATATAAAAAATGCAACTATAACTCAAACTATAGCCTGTAGATGAACTGGACAGAGGAACATTTTTTATTGCAGTAACTGACATAATTTTTTTTAAAAAAGTCAATACCAATTGAAATTTTCATAGCGCCAATGGAACTAATTAACACCAAATATTTTATTGTGTGCTAGAGCTTTAAAACATAGCAAATATGTCTGATAAATCTACAAAAACTTTTTCCAAAAAATTTTCAGTAGAATATATCGTAATTGATTGTTCTTCAATATAATATTGCCGTAAATAGGCCTTATAATATATATAATACAAGTTTCAATTGCCCGAATATTACTCTAAGTAAAAATTTAGTTTGACTAAGATGAAAAATCTGCTATGTCTTAATTTAGGGGTTTTTGGTGATCACCTAGGGGCGGAATGAAAATTATTTAAAATTCATAATCCGAGTTTGCGTACAGTACTTGTCCTTATACTCTGGGCACCCGCGTCGGGTTGTGGCTGTTATTTTCTTAACAGCTGTGGAATAGTGAATGATCTAAAGTCGAATAATGAATGATCTAAACTCGTGTCAAATAATTTCGCCTGGTATATCGAGAAAAGTAATTTATTCATCAGCTTAAAAGAGTGCCCAAGCTGGCGGACAAGAGGGCGGGGAATTCAGGAGCTCAATCCTTATAAGTGGCGACCTTGCGCTCCTGACATGAGTCACATTACCGCCATCAAATCCTGATCGATGAACTCCCATCAAACTACAGCACCTGTGCAGAGCTGCACGGCCAGCACCTGACGGTTAACTGTGAACTTTGTGCGGTCCTCAAGTGAGAAGATCCCACACGCCGCATGTGTGGGTGACTCATCGAGAACGCAACATTTTCTTAGGAATTTTCAGTTCTCTTAGAACAAATTATTCATTTAGAATTTAATTGCAAGATATCTGCATGAAAAATATATTTGATAACTATGATATGTTGCAAGATCGTTGTGCTGTATGAAATAAGGCACATAATTGTCAAGTTAGCAAAACAATAGATGACCATTTTGTAAAGTTAGCAATTTGAGCATACCTTTGACAAAATTAAAATATTCATGACAAATCACAACTGCAGAGAAGGTGCCGCTTCTAGAGAAATGATTATTTGTTTCACAAAATTACCCAATTTACGTCACGACAAAATCTTCGACCATAACAAAATGTGCTTCAGTTGCTTGAGGCCCCCATACCTCATAAATGAATATCAAAAGTATTATGTTAGTCACCGGTGTTACAATTAGATACTATATATAGTTAATATGATATAGAATAGAGGTGTCGGCAATGAAGAAATAGGCCCATGGCCTGTTGCCGACTCCTGTGCTTTGAGTTAATGTGAAAGTTACACAATTATCTAGCGCTTTGATTTTAAATTTCTCAGTTAAGCCTAATATAATATTATTCAATATCTGTTAATTCTATCGCAATTGCTGGCTGTGTTCAAGCGTTGTTCGCCGAGCGAAAACTGCGAGGTGCCGACGACTTGGGCGCCGGAACCGGACTGAGCTCCAGTGGCGCCGGGGACCAGCATGTCCATTGTCTTCGATCAAATTGGTCGTTCATGGGGCATGAGGCCATTGTAAGTATTTTTTTCGGAACACAGATGTGTTAATGAATTCATCGTTTATCTTATTACGGGCAAATGCGGCGCATAGTGACACGTTTAATAATATGGCATGCAATTTAATCACGTAATATGAACTCGAGTTATGACAGTGATTGAATTGACAGTGAATACAGTGAATTATGACTACATGGCGAGTCACGCTATGGCGAAGGAAAACTTCGTTAATGAAACAAACTTTGTTTACCGCAACAAGAATACAGTTTCCTAAAAAAATGTGACGTCGTTCGTCACTCGTCAGATTCAATGCACGAAGCATTCCCATACATATCTATTCTTGCTCAAAATCATTCATTACTACGGCGTGCACTCAACGAGTGCGTGGTAAATATCGCAAAGATCAACAACATCATTCTTCAAGCGATGCAGTGAGTCTCCAAGCGGTCTCTTCGTCATCGTCATCGTACAGGAGCTCGAGCGAGCAGGGCACAGATTCTCGATCCCGCCCAGTGTTACCCGTTAATATGTTGCTATAGCTTATATAAATGCCTAACGTATTTGTGTATTTCTCTATTGTCTATTACTGTGTGAATGATTCACGAATTGGTGATGCCAAGTTCATGTTATTGAGTGAAGATTAAAGTTGTTATGAGAGTAACGCTACGGCAAGACATCATGAACACCGATTCAAAAACTGCTTTATCAATTTGAGTGAAGGAGGCGATTTTTCTTCTGGTGGTTGGGATTTTGAGATAAATGTTACAGTGGCCGTCCCTCTTTATTAATTATTTGATGTAAATATTACGTAGGTTGGAGTGAAGAACTTTAAGTTTCTGTTATTTATTGATGGTTGAAGAAGGATGACGCCATTAACACCCACAGAGTTGTTGGTCGTTGCAAGCTTTTTGCAACTTTTTTTTTGGTCGTTTACTGATACAGAGTTATTGGTCGTTAGAATAAACATGACATGAACACAATAGAGTAACAATTTCAAAAGAATATAGATAACACAATTAGTAATTCAGTTATGATAATTACACTGAAAAGTTTTATAAATTACAGGAATTGAAATCTTGTGAAGAACTCAGCAGCTTATCCCAGCAGATGTCCCACGGCGGCAGACAGTAAATGACTCGTAGCTAAAGCGCGATTGACTAATGGTTACCCACGAGGCATTCTAAACAAAATTCACAGTATTTGATGGCACGATTTAAACATAAAAGTATTTTCGACATTTATTAAACTTTTCATTATTCAGAAATTACACGAATATTATTCGTGCTTGAGAATCGATGATTTACCGACTGAATATTTTATAATTATTTAATAATAAAATTGATTAAATCAGAAATAAGTAGGAGAGTTCAAGGTTATGCTCTATAACTGACGTCGATGAATGTACACGCGTACGTTCGCCATGTGATACGACGGAACGAAAGGACAGTCGACTCCATGGCTGAAGTAATACAAGGTTGACCCACGCACAGCTGCGCCTTGCGGAAGTCATTTGTTATTCCACCTGTGACGTCACCTTGGCCCATGTGACGTCAATTTGTGAATTTGTAACGCCTGTTTTGCTTAAAATAAGACTAGTTTCAGTAAATAAAATTTTTTGGCCATATTAATGAGGTCAATTTTTTATGGTTGAACTAATACAAGGTTTTCCCACGTGCAGCTGCACCTTGCGGATGTCATTTGTTATTCCAACAGTTGCGTCACATTGGCTCTTGTGACGTCACCTTGTGACGTTTAACTGATCTGTAATACCGGTTTTGCTTATAATAAGACTTGTTGCACAAGTAAATAATTTCTTTTGTAACTTTGATGAGGTAAAATTTTTGAAATGCTCTCGAAGATGACATAAAAACCGTGTTGATATTCACTATTTTCATTTTGGGCACACAGTGACGTCACTCCAGAGATGCGCAGAACGGCGAAAAATCTTCATCGCAAATCTTCAGCCTTATAAAGTTTAACCATGGTCGATTCTACCGTGCACATATAGAATGGTCAATTTAGCCTGTGATAAGCAAACCTACGCACATACTGTTCAAGACGCCTATTTTTAACATGATACTTCTGCATATTATACCCACTTCTGAGCACTTAAGTCACATCATCGATGTAAAGAAGAAATTGTAGCAGATTCTCGATCAAATTAAGCAATCTATAACTAACTCTACTCAATGATAATGATGAATAACGCAGAAGAGTACAATTACTGACTACAGTCAGTACAATTAATTTGATTTATTAATTAATTAATAAATCAATTAATTAATTAATTAATTAATTAATTAATAAATCAATTAATTAATTTGATCGAGAATCTGATATTTCTCCCCTCCTGCGTGGCGACGCCACCATGGAGGCCATAGCCATCTCCACTCCGCTCAATGACTCCCCTCTCTGTATTATCAATATATACATCCCACCAGCCACCTCCTGCCCCCCGGGATCCTCCCCGGACCTCTCTGACATTGTCAGTATCCCGGACAATTGTCTGATAGTGGGCGACTTCAACGCCCATCACCCCTCCTGCTTCTCCCACACCGAGGACCAGAGAGCAGCAACGAGAGGGATCACCATCGACGACTTCATCTCTGGCTCCCCCTTAGCCTTCCTCAACGAGGATTCGCCGACCCGCCTCCCCTCCCACGGTCCGCCCTCCTCTCCTGACCTGGCCATCATCACTGGGCAGCTACTACTCAGCACCTCATGGGCTCCTCAAGTCGCCCTAAATTCCGACCATTTGCCCATCCTGCTTCATCTACCTCCAGCCGTGGAGTCCCCGGCCCCCCGGTCTGCCCGCTCTTATACTAGCTTTAAGAAAGCGGACTGGCATGCCTACACGGCAGCAGTTGAAGCAGCGCTTGAGGCAGTCCCTCCCCCCACCTCGTGCGGTGAGTCGACCCTCAGGGGTGTCCTGGCGGCTGCTGCCAAGCAGCACATCTCTGCGGGCTTCCGAAAGGAGTTCTCCCCTGCAGTCAGCCCTGGCACCCGGTTGTTCATGGAGCAACGGGATAACATCAGGACGCACAACCCTAACGACCCCCGGCTCCCCGAACTCAACCTAGAAATAACCACTTCAATACAAGCCCATGCCAGGAATACCTGGCGGACACATCTCGCCTCGTGCAACAGGCGAACTCACCAGTCAAAACACTGGAACCTTCTCCGCTCACTATCCGGAAAACTTAGCCGCCCTCCACCCAACCAGCCAATCCAATTTGGTCAGACCCCCTCTCGTCGCAGCGCAAGATCTCCACCGCCTTCTGCAAACTATTCACCTCCATCGCTCCGCACTCCCAAAACCCATCCACCCGCCGCCTTATGCGTCGAATTTGGGCTGAGCACCCCCTGGACAGGGACTTCGCTCCTTTCACCCCTAACATGGTGAAACTCACCATCAGAGCTGCTAA